GCAGGCCCCGCCGCTGCCCTCTCCCGCCCCGCCGGCTTCGCCTCCGCCTCTTGGGGCGCGCTCACGGCAGGAGCGGCTCTTTCAAAGCGGGCTTGGTGTCAGGCCTGCCGCGGTTGGGGAAAGGAGTCGGGCCCGAGGGTTTCTGGAATGTGTGTTGGTGCAAAACAGTTGAAGAGGCCTGGCAAACTCTGCTGCTGCCCTTAGCCGCTCTCGCAAGGTCCTCTCCGGACGTGATCGTTGGAAAAAGGAGTACAGTTGCATTCTGTAAACGGGAGCCTTACGCTGAAGCAACTAGCGTAACAAACCAAGAAAGTTCGGCCTCTGTTTAAAAGTATTAAAGCCCTTTGAAAAAATGGTCATCCAATAAGACAAAAAAAAACCCGCTCTGCTGCTGTATCTAGAGCAAGGTATGTTTGCCTATTTTAAAGTTCACCTTTGCCTATTTTAAAGATCTAGGCAACAAAGGGGATTAAGTTCACTAGATAACTGGTTAAGTAACCAGTTACTTCACTCCCTGGATGAACTAACTACTTAAGCTGAACCCAACTTGCAGACTGTGTTTCTTATTGAAGCATCCTGTTTTCGGTCAGCTGTAAGGAGGTTGAAAAGTATGGGTACTGACTTGTTGGAATGCATATTTGTGTTCCTTCCAGACTGAATCTTTTACTAGGGGAAATCTTCCCCAAATTTTCAGGCATTTCTTGTGAACCTAATGTTTTCGCAGAAATCCTTTAACTTGAGTAGTAAATTCTGTATCTCTTTAAAAATAGGAAACAACAGCTCAAACTGCAGAGACATGTTACAGGTTACAGAACATACTATGAGACAGGGAATGATGTTTAATGAGAAGCAAGGCAGGGGATGATTAGCTGAGGGAAAACATTCTGAGCATATATTAATTACAGAGTTATAGACAGCATTCAAAAATGTGAACAGACACAATTAACTGTGGACACTAGGAACTTGAGGTATTTGACACCTATATGTGTTTGGATTTAAAAAACGGTGTCTGATTACCCCAAGTGATGACAGTTATTGAGTAAGGACAGATGACATAGCATCAAATGACAGTAGCTTAAATAGGCAGAACCCGTCCTGAAGAAGGGTCATTTTTGGGTAAGGAAAAAAAAAAAAAAAAAAAAAGCCTAACAAATAAAATAGATAAGCACTAGGGGTCAGTCTTGTTCTGGATCTGAATTTTTTCGGTGTTTTCTTTACAAGACGATTCTTATTAACAAATTAATGGAATTATTTTATCTTTAAAATTGTGTCAAGGATTATGGGGTATATGAGATGTATGTGAAAAATGGAGGGCAGCAGCAGGAGAAAGTTCTAATTTACAGATAAAAATAAATTTTATAATCATTTATACATGTGGCAGTTTTTTTCCTGATGTACTGTACTACCATACATTTGTGTATATTTAAAACAGATACCTGCTTTTTAAAGGGGAGTCGTTTGTATTTTGTATTTACTTTTAGAACGTATGTATCTGGTCCTAGAAAGTAAGAAATGGATTCTATATGCACAATAGTAACATAGAATCTTGTATGTTAACTTTTTTCTAAAAGTTCTTATTTTATGTGGGAGAAATAATCACTCTACAAAACACTATAATCAACAGCAAATCCTCAGTGAGTTGAGTTTTTTGTAAGGTTATATTTTCTAGGGAAATACAGTGTGTAACTGTCTATTTAAGGTATTTTTACTGGACAAGTACCTTCCTCTAGCTTCTTTCCACTACAGGAGTCTGTGGAGAAGTGGATGGAAACAGGAAGAGAAGAGTAGGTAAAACTGCGTGATTCTTGTGGCTTTAAAAACCCGGGACTTTCATTTTAAGTGAAACTAATAATGCAAATGCAATTATTTTTGATTCACATATGTTTGGCAGCCCATTTGTGCCTACCTGAATCTCAGATCTACAGGTAAGGATTTTCCCTGTTGAATACCTTGTAGTCCTTTATGATGGATTTAATCCAGGATGTGAGATTTATTTTTTCCAGTCTGCTTTTTATCTGCTAGGCGTTGTATTTCTAGTTAGAAATAGAAGTCAGGCTTCTGTTACAGCAAATGGAAGTCTAACCCAGTTAGACATACTGGCTTTCAGGGTAAATATCCCACAAGGATCGAGATTCCCAGCGTTATGATTGGTACTTTATGTGAAGTAGGATCACAGATGTTGGACATTCAGACTTTGCTCCACACAGAGGTAACTCTTCTGTGATACCAGATACTTTGTTCAACTGATAGAGGTGTTTGCTGTCATAGATTTTACAGGTTATGTTTGCAGGTGTTGACTGCACTAATTAGTCTTAATGGCCCCTGGCCAGCCTCACCTGGGATTTCCAGTCACACCTCCTTGCTCATGGGCCCAGGAACCCTATTTCAGCTCAGGCCTGGGTCTTCAGTTCTTCTTTGAGCTAACTCAGGGCTTAGTAAGGGCCAGCTACTTCCTGAGGGAGGGATACAATGACTGACTGGGATGACAAAGATGTCGCTAGCAGTACAGACCCAGAGGTTGTGGTTGGTGAGCGTCAACAGTTTTTTCTGAAAAGGAAGGGAATGATGAAACTCAGAACCTTGGATGGTGCTGTAGGCACTGGAGGAAAGTGTGCTCTAACAGTGCAAGCTTTTTTCCTTGTCCATTGAGGTAATGACCTTACCTGCTATGCTATAGTCTACTACTGATTGTCTCTCTCTACTTTGGACTCCCTATTCTAGATCCTTTCTCCTTCCTTTGTCAGTCCTGTTGTGTGTGCAAATACAGAGTGCTGTAGGGTAAACCAAACTTGCTGCATGCCAGTTACTTTGTGGTAATTTTAGATATAAGTCACTGGGTAAAAAAAGGGAAGTTGTTGCTACCCTGTTTAGTAGGTGTTCAAGAGCTTTTATAGCTGATGTATCTGGTTGGTTCCAGTTTCCATATTAAAATATACACACATATATATTTTCATATTAAAAATACATGTACTTAGGCCATCATTTTGCAGTAACAATCAGAAGCTCAGTTCACTACATTCCTCCAAAACTTGTGTATATGTAAGTCAGGTATAAAATTGTATATACATTTTTGAATAGTTACTGTTTTTAATCAGTGAGGAAATCAGTAACACTTCTGGTGGTTTTTGAATTGGACTCTCAAATCCTCTTTGTTTTATGAGGTGGGAAGAAATTAAAATTATAAAGTAGTTATATATAATATTTGTGTATATATATAATTATAGATAATATATGTAATTACCCAAGATGTACAGTGGCAGAACCACTTTATACTTGTCCTTTTTCTTGCATTCAATCCCAAAACAAGCTTTATTTGAAGTAGTATAGTGAATTAGGTGAGTGGGATAGCCGCTCTTAAGAGTCTTCTATTTTTATCCTTATTTCCTTTTTTTTTTCCTGTGAGTAGGAAAAAACAGTCCCGGAATTCTGTGTTCTAGGGTAAAAAAGCTATTTTGGGACAAAAATGAGTTTAAGTGGAGATCAATAATGGGGATAGGGATTTATTAATTAAATTAGTCTCACGTAGGGATGCATCTTCCTTCACTGAGACACTAACTTGAGGTTTTAAATCCATTTTATTGATACAGCTTTGTAATTTGAAACATAGAACAACAGTGTTAGTCATCAACTGTCATATCATTTTCAAATGTAAATTTTATTGGACTGCAAAAGAGGAGTATAGTGTAATCTGGGGGATCAGTTTAACTTTTCTCTCATGTATTTAAAAAAAAATCCAACTGACTCCAGTACTACTGGTATTCAGACAAAGAGTGGAAGAATTGGGCTCTGTATTCTGTTTTGGGAAAGCTATTAGTAATATTTAACATTTATAACAGAAATATCTCCTTTATGTCTTGGAATTTAGGGGGGTGTGGATATTTTAGTTGTAACTAGTTTGAAGATTTCAGATGCTATATAGTCTGCATATTCAACAAGAAGGAGGTACCAAAATTGGAAGGCTTATAGTCTTTTACTCATATGACTTATTTTTAGTCACATAAAAAGGAAATTACTTAATGCACCTGAGCAGTAAAGCTATAAACCTGTGCGCAGTTATTCAGACTTTTAAAGACTGTAGCAACATGACCACCTTCTCTCATCATTTACTTTAATGCAGCAATAATAATTCAAGCAGAAGCGTGTGTTTTCTGTTTAGACTTTTAATTTTTATTTTATACTGTCTTTGCCATATACTACCTAAGTTCACGAACATTCTGTAATCTACTTCTGTATTCCATGTGGTTCTTGCAAAACCCAAGTTGTATAGTACACACTTAAAATATGCTTTGTGATGACCTTGCATTGTCGTCTTATCTATAGGTGAGTCCTAGATCAATTAGAAGAAGAATAGGTCAAATTCTCATTGAAACCCCTGTCATTATATGCTGAAATTCTGTTATTGAAAACAGGAGGAGTTTTTGATAGTGGAACTAATGAACTTGAGTCACTTATGAATTTATGTTCTGTGGTTGCATTTTCTGATGCATGAGATCTGGTTGAAGCTTTTCCAGTGTTTGAAGTATTGACCTGCCAGATTTTATCTGGACTCGGAATACTTTAACAGTGACAGATTATGTTCTGCTGAAACACCATCTTGTACCAAAGCCTCAATTTTTTCGCTCTAACCACCCAAAATACATAAACAGCCTGCTTGAAAATATCTCAATGGTTTACTCCTTTCCCAGTGTACCTGAAGATGTATGCGGCTCTGCTCTGTCTATGCCTGTGAAAGTGTCTCAAGTCTATCGAGCCATGGATTCAGGTCCAGTGTGTCCTCTGCTGTTCAGTAGAAAAAAAAAGAATGTTACTGTCTGTCTAGTAGAGTGATGTAACTTAATGTGGGTACTTCTAAAACCTTTTGCATTTTTCTTAATTTGCTTTCTATTTTCAGTTTTGTTCTTTTTCTGAGGAAACAAGGTGCTAGGAAATTGCTCTAGCCCTCTGTGTTCTCTTGATCGTCCTAATAAGCTTGTCAATTTTATCAATTTTTATATACAATTAAGTTCCTACACTTTTTTTTGCCCTCAAATCAATGACCATGTAGAGAATCAAAGAATCATATAATAGTTTGGGTTGGAGGGGACCTTAAAGATCACCTAGTCCCAACCCCAGTGCATGGGCAGGGACATGTTTCACTAGATCGGGTTACTCAAAGCCACATCCAACTTTGGCGTTGAACACTTCCAGGGAGAAGATATTATAACCGTATTAACTGAGTTAAACTTAAGTGTGAGCACATGTCTTACCAAATACCAAACAAGTGACAGCAGCACATCCTTACACCCTAGTCATAGAAGAAGTTTTAGTCATAGGCAGCAGCACCTTGGACACTAATGCCGGTGGATGAAGAAACTATACATAGTCATTCCTGCGTGCAAGGCTCTGTTTCTTACCTTTTCTTATTAATGTTCTGTCTGGGATAAACTTACCTTCCCTGCTTAGCATCTCCCAGCAACTGTGACCATCTTTGGTTTCCTTTCTGGCTTTTCCCTTCACCTACACCGTATTTCCCAGTGTTCATTTCCTCTCACTCCTGGAGTAAAGATTCTTTCTGCCTCCCAAGATTCAGAGTCCCTCCTTTTCTCCCAGCAACTAAAGGGTTTGGTTTTGCTGTCCAGATGATGTTCTTACCTCTTCTCACTCCTCTTCACTGCTGCAGGCATTCTTCTGCCCTGATCTTTTTTCCCTCTTGGAGTGTTTATTCTTAACAGTGCTTTCTTTCTTTTTGCCCTCACCAAGGATTTCCCTTTTTCACTGAGGATCTTCCCTTTTTCCTTTTGCCCTGCCCTCAGCTGAGACGTGATGTCTCCTTCCCAATTCTGATCGTCCTGAGGAAGCTCCTTTTCAAACCCAGCATTATCAAAGTGGAAACTTATTGCCTAAGAAGGACAGAAAGTACTGCCAGGAGGTGAGATGGGAAAACTGCCTTACCTGCATGGGGAAGAAGCAGCCTCATGTTCCCCCCTAGCTGGCATGGGGCCCTCAGCCTGCTCCGTGGGGTCTCTTGTACTGGCTGCAATGACACATAAAGGGGTGTTGAGCTACCCTCAGCTTCTCTTACCTGTTCTTTCTCCCTTTTCTTTTTCTCCACCTCTCTGACTTTACTCTACTTTGCCTTCTTTTCCTTTCTCTTTCTCTTTCTAGACTTGTTTGAACGTGCTCCTATTTTCATCTCACATAACACTTAAGTATTCGTCTTTAAAAATCCTATTATTTTAACAGCTTGCCCTTTTTGTGCCTTTTTTTTTTTTAGAAGCCTGTCTGTCCTTTTTGTTTTTACATGTAGAAGCCTGATCTCTTTGAAAATAGGGAATGACTTGCAGATGAAAAAAAGACCTGTCATACTGTCAGTTTTCTTCTGGCACCTTTCCAACGCCTGTAGAGTAACTGAGGGAACTGCCCAGTGTGGATAAGGCAGGCGGAGCAGATCCTGGATGCGGCTCCCGGGCTCAGCGTGCCTCTCAGCTGGAAGAACTGCTCCCTTCTGCTCTCAGCACAGCAGCGAACATTGAACAAGGTTTTCTTCATCGCATCATTGGTCCATTCTGATTTAGAGGACTGCCAGATTAAGAGAGTTTATGAAAGGTGCCAACACCGTTTTCTCTGACCTCCGCAATCCTTTGGCAGCCCAGGAAGGCAACATGATTTAATCTGCAGACCATCTCTCTAATGGATCCCCGGCAGCGCCTGTGCTGCCGCCTGCACGGCTGGCTGGCTCAGCGTCTCCTGAGCGGCAATCTGCAGCATCCACCCGCTGGCACCTTCTCCTGGCGGAAGCTCAACCGTTTGAAGAGCAGGAGAGGAGAAAATAAAGTCCCACTCAGGATGTTTGCACATGCTATTCTCCGTCTCCTCGGCTGGGGGCTGTGCTGACAGGCTGGGACATCAACAGAGAGCGGCGGCTGAAGTTCCTCCCGCGGCAGGGGGGGCGAATGCCCGCAGCGCGCCGGGGCAGGCCAGCGCCAGCGTCGTGCCACCCGGAGGGTACACAGGCAGACCCGACTGAAATATTTCAAGCCTAATGGCCTCCGGCATAAGCAAGATTCATCAGCTCGGGACTTGCAATGGATCTAAAGCCGCTCGCTGCAGCTCGGCAGAGGAACGCAGTCAGGAAATGCACGTGAAAATGTGCAAGAAGATCGCCCAGCTCACTAAGGTAAGTCTCGCTGCTGCAGCTTTCCCAGGGAGGTGAGGCTGCCCTGTCAGGGGCGACGGGGCTGGCTTGGAGCTGCGTCCTTTGATGGCCCCCGTCTGAGAGGAGGGAAGGGAAAGGGCTCCTCATTTACAAGACGGTTGCTGAAAACATCGGGGTGCACAAACTTGCTTTCAAACGGTTTCCCCGTGGGTGCTGCAGACCAGCCTTAGCGGGTTGCCTTTGTGGCTGACGGCCGACGTCTGGCACTTAACCGTTCTAATCAGCGTGCAACAATAACTTGAAGCTCTGCGATAACGTAGGGTTTGTCTGTGGGCTGCTCGGAGGGATTGACGGTATCCGCTTTTTTCCCTGAATTACGAAGGCGGCAATTCATTTGCGTTTTATAGATTCTCGAGTAATGTTGTCGCAAAGCTGCTGCCGAACTGTGGTGCTAAAGTACAGTATTGTCGTCTTGTACTTAATTGTTCCCAATGTGCATAAGTAGAGATACTTTAACTGACATTTGTGAAAGACAGGAGTTGGAAAAGAGGCAGGACTAAATTATGTAGCATATTGCAGTAAAACTTTTAGTCAGTACCGAGTTATACTACAAAATATTTTGAACGTTTTCGTCACCCTGGTAAGAAATAAGAGAAAATCTGTAGGAGGTGGCAGTTATCCTTTAAAGTATTTTTATGCTGCACCTTTGTCGGGGAGGAAAACCTATTTCCTACCCTTGTTTACTAATCCAGTTTTTACGTGTTCTGTAACCTCACTGCAATTGATCAAGACCTTTTAGCAATGAAAAACACTGACTAAAAAATACAGGTTAAACGATGGGAAATCATTAAGATGTTTACGTTAGAATTGCTTAGTAGTTACAGTGCCATTATTCTTATCTGATGATGCCTGTATGTGATAATGTATATCATGTATGAAAACATACACAGGGCTACCTATATTTATACATATACTTGCTATGTTATATTTACTGTACTCTACCAACACTTACTTTACGGGTGCTTTGATTGTATGTGTATATATATATATATAAATATATAAAAAGATCACAAACTGATCCTCACTTTTTGCCCATAAATGCACATATTACTCATCAAGGTATATTTTCATTTTGTAGTAATTGAAAGAAAACTATTCAAATAAACATAACTTATTATTTTGAACACAGATATGTTTGAGCAATTAAGTCTGTAAAAATTCTTAGAGAGAAGCACTTTATTGATAGTTCCTGATCTCAAAACCACAGCAAAATGTACATGAAAGAGGACTGTAAATCAGATTAAGATGTCCTGGGTTGTTCCCTTGTTTTCTGTCTGGTACTCACTTGGCTATCTTTCATCAATTCTGCACACTAAGTAAAATTTGTCCATAAGTATCACTCAGAAAAAATCACAGTATTACCTTTTCTAATAGCAAAGCAATAACTTCGTCTCAATTGATAGCTTATACCTTACAGTAACAAGAGTTGAGGTGTCACCAGCTTCCTCTTTCTGGGTGATCCGTTTCTCAACAGCAGACTTAAAGCATCTTGATGAGGTCTGTGCAAAGAAACACTTGTCAGAATTGTCAACTCTCAGGCTAAATTCATTTTCTGTAGATTTCTGTGCCTTCCCGTTTATATAAAGTGATTCTTTTTAAAGTCACTCTAATTTCAACTACATTTTGAGGAAAAAAATACCTCATTCCTTTCTGAAAACCCTGTATTACTTTATAAAGCTTGTCTTTGGATTCGGAAAGAAAGTTCTGCTATTTTAGTAGCATAAGGGAGGAAAAAAGTGTGTAAAAGATCATGGCAAAGTTTTCTTGCAGTGTTTTTTTCAGATGCTTTTGCTAAATCTCTACTGTTAAAATGTGAGTGGGGCGATTTCTTTTAATAGAATTCCCCCTTTGGATACTTCTCAGTCATCTGAAATAAAGATGATTTATACCTGAAGCTCAAAAAAGCACTTCCAAAAAGCAAATAATTCTGTTTTGGAATGTGGCCTTTAAGAACCAATTTTCTCTGCAATAACACTACACATATAGAGAACTCATGGCAGAATTGGAATTTTAATCATAAGCTTTTCCTTCTAAATCCTGGGTGGACTAATGCTGCACCAACAGCAAACAGCAGAGAAGCAAAATCTGAAACTAGATTAGCTGAAAAATGGCTATACAGAAGATTTGTTATAATAATTTTTGGCCCAGGAACTTTGAGAGCTCCCTTTCAAATCTCAGTTTTCTTGGCTTCATTACAGTTGGGATAATTATAATAAAATCCCTCCTAATTTTAAATTGCTTGTAACACTTTCCCATTTTAATCTAGTATGCAGTAGTGCTGTCTGTTGTACAGCTGCAACTTCCTGTCCCAGTGGTGTTAGGTTTTCATTGATGGGGAGTTAATGATCTAATTACTCATCCACTCTGCATTGTGCCAGGAGACATGAATGCAAAATGTTTAAATTAGGTGTAGGATACAGAGTTTGACTTATATTCTGTTCCTTTACTATGTAGTCAGTAGTGGCTGCCTCCTACTCTCAAAGGCAGAGGAGGGGTGTGCAAAGGCATCAACAGCAGAACCAAACTGGGTGAGATGATCCGGTTTCTGGCGTTGCATGATGTGCTGATTACATTTTAGGACATAGGCTGGTACAGGGAATCACCATATGTAATCAGGACAAAGAGATCCTGAAAGCTGTTCCCATTCTACTGCCCTGCTATTTCTGCTTTTGGAGAGGTAGAATATAGTAAGCTTTCATACCTTCAAGTCGTGCATTTTTCTGTTCTGCACATTTTTAGCAGCAAAAATACAAACATTTAGAAATGTTTTGTTTGCTTTGGGCAGCAAGCTACTGTTTTTTGTAGTCCATTTATTGGTATTTTTAGATGCCAGGCCCTTCTCACAAAGATAGACTTTTTCCTCTGTTGATATGTAGAACATATATTGCTTTTCCACATTGGGCTATCACTATGAGCATATTTTGTAAGCTCAGTCAGGCTCGCTCTTCTGCTCTGCCCCCCTCTTTCTCCGAAAGTAAGGTGGCCTTTGCGTTTCAAGGTGGAAGTGTCCACAGATCCTTGTTATACCATTAGGCATCTGTCTGCCCACATTTGAAGTACACTAATGAAAACATGGCAGGGTTTTATTATTAATTGCACATATAAGGTTTTGCTTTTAAATCCTTGGCTGACAGTGCTAAACGGGACAACCAGGTTTTGTTTTAAATATTTTTTTTAAAAAAAGTTATATTAAAAAGTGCAAACAGAAATTTTTTGTTCCCATGGATGCAGGTAAAAAGTTTAAAAGCCCTAGTAAGATTAGTGATTTTGGATGAGATCTGCCTAGGCCTTCTGAACTAAAATTAGAAACATTGCAGCTATTTCCAGATGAGCTATGCTTTGATTTATGAACTTACAGAAATTAAACAGAAGCATTCTACTTGCAAATGGGAATGCCCAACTGTAGTTGTCATTCACATATACAAATCACACGTTTATTTGTTAGGTACCTTTCTGCAATACTGGTGCGTTCAAATTAATATGGACTTGAAGTTAGCGTATTCTGGTAGCAGAATACTTTGTACCAGTAATTAAGGTTGGACTTCGCCATCAGTCATGGGACCCTTGTCATGCAATTTTGTGCTAGCCAGTTCTTTGTGTTTCTGTTTAGAAGTAACGGAATTTAAAGTGCACTTTGGGTGTCACTGCCTGTTGCCTCAGGCTACGGATTTCTAACATCCATTGGTTATTACAGGATTTTCATGAGCTAACAGATTATCAGGACAGTCCTTTTTACTTGAGATAGGATGAGAAATGCAATAAGCTCTGGAAGAGGAGTGCTGAGGAGAGTGGATCAACTTTCACTGAAAAGGCAGTGAGGGCAGGACTGGCAAGAACTAGATATGCTGCAGATATCCATGTTATTCAGGCTTCTTTTCAGACCTCTGCCAGTGGGGCTCAAACCAAACCTGCTGTTCTGGACTACACTTCTCGAACCAGGCCTAATATGAAAAACTAGGATGGCGATACTAGTTGGAGATCAGAGAGCTACCTAAGCCACAAAGCGGTTCTGTTTCCTTCTTAGAGACAAATTCCTGGGTACCAATAGAAGAATATTTTTTTATAAGAGTAGATCATTAACTCAAACTCATCTTCTGTAGGAGTTCATCTGACTCTATATTGGGAATTCAGGAGCCTTGTAAGAAGCACATTTTAAATTGCAGTATTTTTGGTCAAGTAGATTGTTAGTCAAAAAAATCAAGCAGTCTGAAAATTTTGTGCATGTATGTTGGATACTGTGAATCTTAACAGAGGAAGAGAGTTCTGATGCAGGAAAAAATTAAATGCTGGTAAAACACAATTAAGATCCTTTTTTTCCTTCAGGGGAAAGAAACGCCGAAGGGGAGCAAGTGTGTTCTTCTGCAAGCTGCAGCATAGTTCAGATGTTCCTTTATGACTCTTATGTGGAGGAGTTGAAAATATTACACATTCAAGCTGCTTATCACCACCAGTCACCAGGAGGTTTATTGCACCTCAGCTCAGTCAACAGGGTACAAAATATGAACATTGTTTAATAAGCTTCAGTGGAAAATCAGAAAAATAAGTAAAACCCACTTTCATTAGTTATTTAAGGATGTCTGACTTTTGTACAGAAATGTAGGAAATACATGCTCGCATTTAGTTCTGTTGGTTTCACTCCATGGGTGGAAATTTATACAGGAATTAGCAAGTGACTTAGCATGTGTGTGAGGGCATAGATTGTTTTGCAGCATGGCTGTATATTAGATCTTTTGACCTTTCCTGGTTTATTTGTCATTTAAAAAAATGTCTGATAGGTTTACAAAGGAAATGTGATCAAATTCTAATGGCTTACTCTGGAAGCACCTATCAGCTGAGCAACTGTAATGGAGTACTCCTGTTGTCTATTCATGTTTCTAGTTGAAGTATGTTGCCATTTTCACATAGTTTAAACTAAGTTTATTGACCTTATTTACTGTGATGTGTTAGTACTCAGTAACCAA